AGCTTTCTGAAAAACAAACCGAGTGGGCTACAGCTGTCTGTCAGGGGAGAGAGGGGGGGAGAAAAAATTAAATAAAAAAATCAATGAGCAGAAGTTTGGGTAGAGCCGTCAATCACCGCTTAAGTCCCCCAAAGCCCCCAATCATTAACGCTCAAAGCTTATTAAAGGATTTGCACATGGACGGTAAAAGTACACCCCACACCAAAAGTCACTCGCACTCCTGGATTAGACCCTTTTCATTTTCGTGATTTTACAAGATGTTTCCTCACAGCTTTAAAGTTTGGTGTAATAGTGAGAACTGGTTTTAATCTCGTGATAGTGAGTCACAAGCGAGGTCGGCGAGTTCCACGTTGGGCTGAGTGATATGACCAATAATCAAAATTCAAAAGTGTCACAATTTGCTCTCATATTGATCAAGTTTTGCTTCAGTGTTTGTTAGTCTTTTGTCTCTATATTTTTTATACCATGCCCTTTATTGCGTCCCAAGCAGTGCCAAAGGTGATCATCCAATCAGATTTGTCTGTTTTTCAGAGAGGAATGTGAAAAAAAGGAGCCATGGATCTATTAAAATAAATGGATGGGGTATTGCTGCTTGTAGCTGCCTCCCATTTCTCTCCAGTGACTAGGTCAGGAATCAGAATACGCTAGATGGTTTGCAAGAACACCGGAAGTTGTAGACCGCACACCGGCCAATCAGTGAAGAGCTGTGAAGCCATGACGTCAAACTCGTTGCGTCTGTCTGGGTCCCTTTTGTGGAACAGCACAACAGTAAACAAAGCGGTCGAGATGGATGTAGACGAAGACATACATTCTGTGTTGGCAACGATTCCAGAGATCGAGGATTTAAAGTCGGAACAAAGAGAATGTTTGGTGAAGTTTATCAAGAAGAAAGACGTTATTACCCTTCTTGCTATGGGATTTGGCGCATTACATAAGTCATGACCAAATAGCAGCAATTGGTTAAATAAAAAAAGTACCCACCTACCGTCAAGCGAACGAATCCTAATGCTGAGGTCAGACGGTTTCCACAAAATGAAACCGGCTGATGAATCAGGCTAACTCACTGGTACTTCAACGAAAAAATCCCCTGAACTGAGACAGGATTTTTCTCAGAGAGCGTTCGGCTTACAACTTTCAAAATTGTTGGATTTTGTGGTAATTTTTACCTATTTTTATATCAAACTTTTTCTCAGCTCAAATTCCTTCAGTTGTCTTAAAAAACGCTTAATAATCCTTCGCTCCGCTCTAGCTCCTCTCGCTCTGATTGGTCAAAGCACTCGGAGTTGTGCGTCAGTGGGGAAAATGATGAAAAACTGAAGTATGGCTGTAACTGACATGCAGATGAAGAAAACTGGGCCATTTTCTAATTTTTCGTAGATTTTGTCTCACTATTGTGAACAGAGCCCACTAGAAGTTGTCATTGCATGTTTCCAAACGTCTTCCTGGTTTGTGACATAAGCGTGAATAGACCTTACTGGACAGGTGTATTCTGGATCCTAGGCAAGTTTGTCTTATAAAAAACAAAAAAAACACAGACATGTAATAATAAGTTCTTCCTCTTAAAGTTACAGTATGTCACTTTCTGGGGGTGTAAAGTCACTTGCATGATTCAGTGAAAATAAAAAGTTAAAACTCTACTTTGGAACATCCTCCATGGAAATAGACACACTGAGGAATATTATAGTCAAACGAACAACATTTCCATGAAACAAGCAGGAGGAAGCCCTCCTCCAGGCGAAATAAAAATGATGTTTGTGGAGATGCAAGCCCGCTCACAGTACGGACGCGTGTTTTTCAGTGCTATAAAAACACCCATAATGAAACAAATGTGCTTTTATTGTCATCTATTTTTAAGCCAAATGTTACATACCGGAGCTTAAAGTCTTCTGTCTGCTCCAAAGAAACTGCGTAACAAAGGACTGGCTCTGGACCTCTTTATTAAAAAACCCCAAACTGATCTTTGACCATTCGAAATGACACATTCGATTTGATTAATTATACATCTGTACAGACCCAAGCATGGTTTCATTTTTTATTTATTGCATTTATTATACAGCTTTTGACCATATTAGAATGTTTTATCATCAAAATCATACCATGATTTGAGTCTTCCTCATGAACTCAAACTACACGCAGAGCTCCACTGCATTTTCAAAGTTCATACACCATTTGGTTTAGTTTAAATTGTGCAGCTAACCAACTATTGTACTACAAGACCATGCATGTCTTGTAAGCATCCAAACAAATGTACACTTACTTCTGGTTAAAAACTAAATCGTATGAATAGCTACAATTCACAAACCAAAATGTCAATGCAGTGCTTCAGAATCCTACATGTATCATCGTTAGAAAAAAGTAAATTCGAGACTGGAGTAAGTACAGAGGAGTGGTCGTGTAGCCAGGCTGGCGCCACCTAGTGCCTCCGCTCAATTTCATTTCTCTTCAGCAACTAGGTCAAGAATCAGAATACACTAGACGGTTCGTAAAAACCCAGGAAGTGCGAGTTCAGGCACCAGCCAATCAGCGAAGAGCCATATATTCTGTGTTGGCAACGATTCCTGAGATCGAGGATTTAAAACTGGGACAAAGAGAATGTTTGGTGAATTTTATCAAGGGGAAAGACGTTATTCTTCTTCCTATGGGATTTGGGAAAAGCTTAATATACCAGTTAGTCACGTTAGCAGCACATTACATACGTCATGACCAAATAGCAGCGTTTGGTTAAATAAAAAAAGACCCGCCTACCATCGAGCGAACAAATCCTAATGCTGCGAGGTCAGACTGGCTGGCAATTCACAGTAGCAAACCAAAATGTCAGTGCAGTGCTTCAGAATCGTACATGTATCACCATTAGAGAAAAGTCAGTACAGAGGAGTGACCGCGTATAGGGGGTAGGTGAATTGTGAATTTTCTAAACAATGGTATCTTGAATGCGGGAGAATAAAGATTACTCAAACATGCATGAATCACTCTAAATATAACTTTGCTTTTGGATAAATGAGAAGAGGAAATAATTATAAAACATCATAAATAAAAATGAACTTCATAACATTTGTCTCCATGGATGATACTTGCCTGGAATGATTCACAGTATGACATTAAAATCCACAGAGACGAGCCTGTGAAACCTCCAGACCAAGTTAAAGGTCAGATCTGATCATACAAACGTATAATTAAATAAATGCAAGATAGACCAGGATTGTATGTAACTTTTTGGAGGTGAAAACTCAACTGTATGAGCTCTTCATGGAAACAGAAAGTGAAAACCAAACTTCGGAACAGTCTCCATGAAGAAAGATATGCACTTTTAATGTCATACTGTGGAATATCATAGCCAAAGGAATAACTTTTCCACGGAAACAAGAAGTATGGATGAGACCACGCCAAATAAGACTACGTTTATACATAGCCGGGTATGTTGAGAAACGAATATGTCCCTCCCTCCATTTTCCAAAACAACATCGTGCACATTGCGTCGTTTTCAAAAAAGTTTTCGTTTAAAAGAGAATTATGTCACAGATAGTAATCTCAAGACCCAACTGTTTAACTTAGCTTTGTGTGGATGCATGGGGGGGTGGAGGGTAGAAGGAAACGTGGAATTGTTTTTAATCACTGTAAAGCGCTTTGTGTTGCATTTTTGTATGAAAAATGCTCTATAAATAAAGTTTAATTGATCGATTTATGCATCAGCTTGCATAAATACTCCATCGAGCGCCATCATAACGACGCCAAACCTCTGGGCGGCATTTGGATTAGGTTCAAACCTGTAGCATTTATTTCATCACATTTGTAACTTTAACCTACAAATACCTTGAAAAACGTGCATCACTGAGCGGGCTCGCCTCTCCACAGATCTGTTAAAGAAGTGGTAAAATTGCTGGCCTCACTGGTCTCTGGTCATGGGTATGATCCATCAGCTGTGTGTGCAAATGAAAAGTGTTTGCACCAAAAGAAATGTGACTACTGCTAGGAATTCTTCCATGATCATCATCACAGCAAAAGGGAAACATTGGTCGCACTTTTGGCGTGTCAGCTTCTAAAATGACGTTTATCTCATTTTACACGCAAAATCGCAGTTTTCCACAATCTCCACTCTAGTTGGAGTTTTTAAAAAGATTCATTTTCAGAGGCGAATTCCCCGTACAAGATGAGTACAAATGTGTCAGTTTTTAAAAATACCAGTGTACGTGTAAACAGGGCCTAAGAGTCATGTTTGTGGAGATGCAAGCCCGCTCACAGTAAGGACAAATGTTTTCAGTGCAACAAAACCACCCATATTGGAAAAAAAAAACACAACCAAAAAGTTAAATACTATGACTTTAACTTTTGGCACTATAGTTTACTGCTTAGCCAAGACTTTAATAGAAGTTTGATTTTAGTCCTGATTGCATTGGCCTGTCCCTCCACACCACTCTATCACCCGTCTCCCCTTTCCATCTGGTGACATATAATCTTCATATTGACTTAAGGGACCACGGCAGCCTCCTATCAGCTCCCTCCCGGGCTCCGTTTGTGGACTCTCCGTGTTTACACCGCGGCTTCTCCTCTCGGACTACCCTTTCAAACCTCCATCCAAATCTAATATACCGATCCATAAATAGCGCACCTATCTCGCCCGTATACAGCGCGTGAGTGACGAGGCACCGGAGCCAACCGAGCCCTGTGGACACCCCAAACCCCGCCCCTTCACGCTCCGACGAGGCTCTAATCGCTCTCCGCCCGCCCCTTCTCCATATACGGTCAGGCGAGGGAGTTGATTGACGTTCCCGAAGCCACGCCCCCTCCATTACGCCGCTCCTCCCCGTTTCCCTGGCTATCCCCTATCACTGTCTATTTTGGCAACAGTGGATACGCATGGACCCCGCATCACCTCGCGTTTCTCGCCGATAATGCGCGCTGCTTGCCGGACAACCAAATCGCGTTCCCCGTGGATCATTTACTAACATTTTTTTCCCCCCCGTCTGAATTTCTACTCTACAAACCCCCAAACCGTTTTTACCATGGATGTGCTGGCCAACCACAGCATCTTTCAAGAGCTGCAGATAGTCCACGACACCGGCTACTTCTCCGCCATGCCGTCGTTGGAAGAGAATTGGCAGCAGGTAGGCTTACGTCCTCCCATTTCCATCAACTTTTACGCGCGGTGTGCAGTGCGTGGAGAGGGGTTCAGACGGTACAGACGTCTTTCTATCAGAGTGACAGTTCTCCAAGCGCTGGCAAAGTGGAGGAGACGGGGGGACATGCGCGTAATAAAGATGTCAAACGCGATTGGGCACGATAAAGAACCGTGGATGCCGTAATAGAGGTTGAATTGAATCGTGAATAATACATCCACTTCCCTCTGATTACCGAGTTGTGCGGAGCCCCTCTTGAATGCAAAGAACTCCCGTCGGTTATTCATAATATATATTGGAACATAGCTCTCCCTGCGTAAAAGCGACCGGGGGAAAAAAAACGTGGTCTCTCGGTTTGTGTTCTGTGCGCTTTGGAGACGGTTTGGAGTTGGTGATTTTGGAGAAGGACGGATGAAAGGATGAAAGGATGGATGGATGGAGTACGGGGATCCACGCGGGCACATGGTGGAGGGTGCGTGCGTGGGCAGCCGGCACATTTTCCACGCAGCCATCACTGGTGTTTCTAATTGCTTCTTTGCTTTCGAAAACTGAGCTCTGAATAGAAAATACTGCTTTTTACGCGTGCCCATATTTGGTTACTGGTGTTGTATTTAACGTGGAGTTTGATTTATTTGTCGTTTTGCCATCTTCATGAACACACACGTTTGCAGTTCTCTAAAAAAAACAAATGGTACCAGTCCAGTCTCAGTTCAGATTGGAAGCATTAGAAAAAGGACACCTTGTTATCCGAAACTGACCAAAGACTGCTGAATGTAGTCACTATATCGAAAAAATACACAGTAATCCTCGTAAAATACTTATTTTATACTACATTTTAGTTGAATTTTGTTTATTTTTGTGTTTTAGTATTCAGAATACACCAAATTACATATTCTGTAGTACATTTTTTTACTGACTTGCACCCATAATGGCCCAGTGTTTTAATAGGCACTATAATTATCGACTGTTTTGCCATTTTCAAAGCTTTTTCAACCAAATTTATACAAGTTAGTCGGTTTAATCCTACACAAATCGTTATTTTAGAATCAAATTATTTCAAGATCTTACATATTTCGTTGCATTCTGACCGACAAGTAAACACAGCCATTTATAAATCAAATATAATGTTAACAGATTGGAGTAAAGCTAAAGACTTGCGATGTTTTCTCGCATTTTCCATTTTGTAATTTCAAACTTAGGTCAAATAATCACTTTGACAATCACTATGACTATATTGTAACTTCTCTGCTTACGTAAAGTTCAGTGGTCCCATATTAGAACCTTGTGGTACTCCTTCGATAATTGTTCTCTATTGTTTTCAGATTGATGAGAATTTAAGCTTGTTGCCATAGTGATTTAAACAAATTTAACTATTTAAAACGCAATATCATATCTTCTGAATGTGAAAAAATCCTCAAAATGTTGCATATACAGTAGCAGTAAGCTGAAACCAACAAATGAAGTTATTACTATTTAGCAGTTTATTTGTATAATTTGTATTTATATATCCAAAATTAGTACATTGTGTTTCTTCTCTGGCACATTTTTTTGTATTGCAGTGCGAAAAGAAATAAGAAATACTGCGTAGCATATATAGTCTCCTCCCTGCTGTACTGCATTTCGAAGGAGGACCAAATCATTCCTTTATTGTGTACTTGACTGGCTTAAGAAACTAAATCATTGCTTGTGAATATGATGCCGGTATAGTCCATGAAATAGGAGCCGCACTTCTCGGCTCCGTGCTAGGAAAGAGGAGGCATGGAAGGAAGAGAGGGAAGGGAGGAGGGGTGACAGGAGAGAGAGAGAAAGAGAGAGAGAGAAAGCAGTGCGTGACCGTACATCCATTCGTCTTGGCCAAGCATCCTAATTGGCATCCTACTGTTACCCACCAACGCATCTTTTCATAACAAGTCTCCCAATCCTTGCCTTTCGCTGTCAGTGGATATTTTTTTTTTTTTTTTGTTTTTTTTTTCAAATCACACCAGGCCTACACACACGGCACCACTCTCCCTTCTCCTCGCATATCAAAATCAATACCTAATGCAAATGGAAGAGAACCGCGTGCTGGAAAATGTCAGGTTTTTCTTTGAGCGGAGTGGCTGCAGTGGAGCTAGCACAATGGGCATTTTGGGCGCAGCGTTGTCGTGAACTAAATTTAGAGTGAAAAAAGGGGTTATTTTTTGGTTTCTCGACAAGTGCGGTGCAGCTGGTAAAGTAAGCGTGAAATGTCGGGAATCGTTTGCAGTTGGATCAGATTGAGGGTTGACTGTTCAGAAGCCAAAGACCGCCACACGATTCTTGTTTACTAAGTAGGGCTGCAACGATTCATTAGAATAATTGTGGCCAGTTGACTATTAAAACAGACGTCATCGTAATTCAGTGATAATAAACGTTATCTGGACTGTGCAGACTCAAAAGACCTTCTATAAGAAAGTCTGCCTCATTACTATCAAATTTAAGATGGACTGTTCAAAAGCCAAAAACTGAAATTCAGTTCTTGAGTAGGGCTGCAATGATTCATTAGAAAACTCGTGACTAATCGGCTATTAAAATAATTGTTAATGTAATTTAATAGTAAATGTTATCTGGACAATACAGACTCAAAAGACCTTCTAGAAGAAAGTCTGCCTCATTATCAAACTGAGGGTTGACTATTCAAAAGCCAAAGACTGCACTTCAATTTTTTATTATTAATAAGTAGGGCTGCAGCAATTCATTAGAATAATCATGACTAGTTAAAATAATCGTCATCAGAATTCAGTGATAGTAAATATTCTCTGGACTACAGACTCTAAAACACATGTCAAAAGACCTTCTAGAAGAAAGTCTGCTGCAAAACCACCAAGTTTAGATGGATTTAGATGAAATTTAGATGGACTGTTCAAAAGCCAAAGACTACTATTTAGTTCTTGGCTTAAAACAGTCGTCATCGTAATGCACTGATAATAAACGTTATCTGGACTATGCAGACTCAAAAGACCTTCTATAAGAAAGTCTGCTGCATTAATATCAAATTTAGGGTTGACTGTTCAAAAGCCAAAGACTGCAGTTCAGTAGGGCTGCAATGATTCATTAAAATAATTGTGACTAGTGGAATATTAAAACAGTCGTCATTGTAATTCAGTATAATAAACGTTGTCTGGACTGTGCAGACTCAAAAGACCGTCTGCTGCATTACTATCGAAGTGAGGGTTGACTGTTCAAAAGCCAATGGCTGCAGTACATTTTTTTATTATTATTAAGTAGGGCTGCAGCAATTCATTAGAATAATCATGACTAGTTAAAATAGTCATCATCAGAATTCAAAGATAAGAAATGTTCTCTGGACTACAGACTCTAAAATACCTGTCAAAAGACCTTCTGTAAGAAAGTCTCCTGAATTATTAAATCAAAATGTCAAAAAGAATGAACTATTTGTGACTTTCATCAGTAATGCAATTTTAAATATTATCTGTCAGTGAAACTTTTTATTTTTTTTATCCCAGTTTACAATAGAATCAGTTGTTTGATTTAGTAATCACTAACTAGCCAACAAAAATAAAAATAATTGTTGCTAGTTCAAACTGTAAAATACTAACTCTCTGCATATTTACATTATTTACAATGCATTTAGTCATAACAAAAATAAAATAAAATGTTGTTTTCTCTAAATTGTTCATCTTTTTATAGGCTACCAAAGTACCACAATTAGTATGAAGTTGGAAACCTGTGGTACACAATTTGGGATTTGTTATTACTTATTAATTAGGATATATAATTTTGTGAAGTACTGTACGCTGTGTGTTTTAGATAGATCAAAGTATATTGTTGTTACATTATTATGTGTATGATTTTCTGAATTTGAGTGGGGCAAAGTTGGAGCCCTGTGGTACACCTTTACATATTTCTTACTGTAGCCAACTGATAATTTACACATTTTAGTTTGTGAATAAAAACTATGTACTTGCACTGGAAAAAAAAGCAAAAAAAAAAAAAAAAAATCCATACCAAAGAATATTGTTAATCGGTATAATTTCTTAATTCCCTTCCATTTTCTGAATTTGAGTGGTGCGTAAATGAAGCCCTGTGGTACACCTTCAAAGATTTGTTATTGCATCCAAGTAGTAGTTAACATATTTGATTACTGTACTGTTGTTTTCAAAGAATAGAATGATTTTGTTCACATCTATCACTTCTTGAATACTAAAAAAAGAAGAAACAAATTCCACCATTTAGATTCTAGTGCGGGACATTTTTGAAAATAATGTTATCTTGTCTCAAAGTTGGAGACAGCGTAAGCCTTTCTATCTTTTTTGACTTCAACAAGTGCAGTTCAGCTACCAAAGCAACCGTGAAATGTCAAGAATTAGCCGCTATTGGTCCAATTTTAAGTCTAAGCCAAAAAGACACGCTTGTACGAATGTCAAAGACGGCTTTTGGGAGAAATTGGGACATGAAGAACTCTGCTTTGTTTTTGCCTCTAAATGCCCAGATTATCGTTGCCCCCACACTTGGCTGCTTTGTTGGCAACTGCGTGTCAAAGCTGTGGACAAGAATTATTATGTGTTTCTAGCTAGTAAAAAGGCTAGTGTTTGGGCCAGCCTCCCCTCTGTATTCCAGACACAATTTGATAGTTTTATGTGGCGAGATAGGAGCCCCTTGTAACAGGTCGCTTAAATGGGTCCCTGAAATGCTATGGCAAGACTGATGACTATGTCCCTTGTGTCTCGCAGGCATGATTCAGTTCTTTTATGGGGGGATGGGGAGAGGAGGAGAGGCGAAAGAGAGTGAGAGGAGAGAGGAGAGAGAGTAGGGTTGGGCTGCGTGGTTTTGGAAAGAAATGCAATAGCGATTTTTCTGATGCGTATTGAGATTACATTTGTAGTATAATGTTTAAAGATAGGATTCTCTAACATTTGAGATAAGACTAAACTACTACTACTACTACTACTACTTAACAAAACAAAAAGACAGGATATTTTGCTGATTTAATAATTACACTAACTCAA